ACAATTTTTGGACCTTGGGGTTGTTTATTGGTGCATTGAGCATTTCGTTGCACTGGGAAGTGTGAATGGGAATCATGATAAACTGGTACATGGTCGCTTCGTTCCTTAGAGCCGCTGCTTTGCTCCGACAACACGCGTGTCGATTTGTCTGGTCACAAGGCTAGAATTCGTAACTAGTCACAGGACTAAAATGACATAACGAGTCATGTGACGAAAATTATCATGCAATTGTAGTCATATCACTAAAAATCATGTAACATTTATTCACATGAATAAAGTGACATAATGTCATATAACTAGCCACATGAGTGAAATCACCACATGAGGTAACAGCTAGTCACTAAAATACGTAGCCTCATGTGACTAAAATCGCATAGCATCCATTAGCAGCTAGTCACGTTGCATGTTCCCACCAACGCCACATTACAGCTAGTCATGAGACATATTCTTGCCAAAACAATGTGACACGTGCTTAGTGGGGGGAGCTGACTAAAAGCAAGAACTGACACTATGGGATCTGAGTACTCCCTTAATTCACAATACATATTCAAGCATGACATTTTACTATCCTTGTATTTTTCATTTGTACATTCACACTGCATTACATGTTGTCACTTACTTACTACTACACACATCTACCTTGGCTTACTTACTTACTACACACATCTACCTTGGCTACAAGTACTGTAATACCAAGCTATTAGAGTAATGATGTTTAGTGCTTTTATTCAAAAAGCTGCATATATTTTACAATCTAACCATATTTATTCGGTTTTGCAACTTGTCATGTACTGTAGCCTTACCAAATTCTTATTCAATGAAATTAACTTTAGTTAATGCAATGGTGTGATACCCCAATTATATCTAACAAATAATAATACTACAAGGTACACGCAGTAACAACTTTGTCTTACATAAAATAAGTTCTAATTAAGGCAAGCGGAGCATACTTTTTTTCATTCATCACTGTTTTAAATTCCACACTTTTGGGAATCACAACATTAAAAATTCATGATTTGAAAAGAAAAAAAATAGTTAAGAGATTATATATTTTGTTTTCTGATTTTTGAGTATCCTTGTAATTTTGTTCATTGAATATTTTTATCAATGACCTCGTTCTTGCTGCTTTGTGTGTTCTTTTTCCGAGTTTAATTTATTTCTGTTAAACTTCAATCTTTTGTAATGTGTATGTTTTATGCGCTATAACCAATACTTCTTATTTTATTTTGATAAGGAGGTCCTATTGCAGTCTTTGACTTTGGGACCTCCTCCTGTATATTATGACTATGTAACCTTTGTACTAAATACAATAAGATTTATTCTGATTCTGAAAAAAAAAGGACTATAGCCAAATTTAACCATACTGTGCAAAAATTTTGCATGCGAAAGCTTGGCATTACTAGCAAAGCTCAGCTAGGTTAACCCTATACCCTGTTTCACCACTTTGGTTCAGCATGACCAAAGCTACGGGGTGTACCAAAATCTGGAATAGATTGCCCCAGGATATAAAATCGGCTGTTAACTTTCCTCTGAAAATAAAAAAAAAACACTTCCTTGCAATCCTTAATGTGTCTCCGTAACCCCCTTAATAGTAACAAAATCGTTCGATTCTTCTATACAAGTATCACTACGTCCAGTGAAAGTTTACTGCGTAGTTGTTATTACTCATTGCCTTTCTTTTGTTTGTGTATAAAAATTACATGTTCCTGTTATCTTACCCAAGTTCGAGTATATGATTATATATATGTCTGTACAACGCCTAACCTTCTTTACTATATCTGCAATGCTTAGCATCTCGTATCCTGGTACAATGCCTTATTCTATTGTTTTACCACTTGCGCTATTGTTGGCTTGTGCTATCGTTTGGATACTGTGCCATTTTGTATTGCATTATTGGACCCTATTCTAACCTTTGGCTATGATTCCAAACAGTTTTTTGAGCTATCATGTTGGAATTGAAAATAAAGTGAAATGAAGTGAATGAAATCAATGAATGAAAGAAAGCCACATGCATGCACATTGAAACGTAGTCCCACATACAAGTATCCTAAAATTGACAGGCATGGCTAGAATTGACCCTTTTTTGTGTGCGTTACACCCAGGGGAGTAGCCAGGGGTAATGCACCAGGCAGGTACCCCCCTTCTTGAAATTTTTTTTCGCCATGTCATAAAGAACGAAAAATGGCCATTTTAAGGGAGTGCCCCTCGCGAAATCAAGGTGGTGACCCCCCCTCTCCAAATATTTTTGGCTATGCGCCTGATTGCACCACATCGGTACTTGATATGTTTATTTTTGTTGGCATTTTTTTCATATGCGTTTAATTATTTGTGTCAGTTATTGCCAATAGTTATTTACAAATCAACATGGCAACACCCATGTAGAAGCGACCACCTGCTTTGCTCTGGACTTGCTCATGCTGCATGCCCCCTGGGTTTGCAGCAGTAAACAAATGGTAAAGTCTTCTAGCAATTTGTTTCATCTCACTCTGGGAATAAAGCATCAGGTACACTTTGTCGTTACTAGCCAGATATGCTGCTTGTCTAGTCACACCTGCTAAGCCTAACGCACTGAGGCAGTGTTCAGGCTGTGTCGCCAGACTAAGACGCTGCATCGCCAAATATCAGACGTGCCACCTAGCACTGCATTTCATGTGCGTTGCATCCTCATTCACTGGAAACAAAAAATAGGGAAATGCGTTACAGCAGGAGACACGAAGGAACGCGTCGACCAAGAAACAGTCATACGAGAGCCACAAACAGTGTCGGAGATAAACAGCCACAAAGTGAAGTTATCCGCCGGCATAAGATTCTACTGATCTTAAGCAGAGCAACAAATCAACGCTTCTTCAAGTTCAATGTGTAGTTGCCTGTTCAACAGTTTTATCGTATTTTTAAATTTATAAACTAGCCATAATAACTACAATTCGATGAGCAGACGACACTGCGGGAATCAACACATGGGGAAGGGCTACGCGCCCTTCCTATTGGCCTTCACAGTGCTGAGGGGAACTAGAGTATAGCTCCACTGACGGTTCTATCGTTGAAGCACTACTGCAAACTGAGCACTTTCTTTTTTCTGGATCACATTGCACTATGTTCCTTTCCAACTTCTTTCCATGCCAACGTTCACTCATGTGCTTAGCAGCGCAACACTTCAGTTGCTCATCAAGGTCACGCATTCCTGTTCAGGCAGCGTAGCATGTCTTCAAAAAAGATCAGGTGGCTACCCTGATCACCAGCAAGCCAGGGATTGTGAGAGAGCGCTTTAAAGTGGCACACATCTATATGCGTGTGATTAGTGCAGCTTCAACTGCCACATGTACTTACATTTGCTGGTGCTGGGTTTCTCGCATGTGATTGAAGCATGTGACTCGCTTGGAAAAGTTTGCTTCCACGGGTGTTTGGCAGCACCCTAGGCAGACAGTTTTCCAAAGAAAAGTGTTCATGTGCTCTGGGCCTCTTCTACATCTTCAATTGTATAAACACGGAATATTTCCCCACATTTCTCTGTCCATTTTTCGAAGTAAGAAACCCATAAAAAAAATGAGAGATCTGCAATACAAACATTTTAAATGGATAAAGGTACAAAGTGTGCAAACTAGAAGAAACAAAGTACCTAGAAATAACAGACAGGATGAGGGCTAATTTTTGCCATGTTTGACCAGCTAGCCCAACAACACACTTCCGGCAAATATTTTTTTCTGTAATCCACAAAATTCGGCTGCTTTGGCGAGGTACCCACCGTGTGTCGGTTCACTACATAACTCTACACTTTGTTGGTGCTGTTGCTTGGGATGGATATGATGAATGATGGTTGGGCTCTTCATGGGAAGCTTTGCATCCATGTCACATGAAGTAATTTCACTTGCTTCAAGCAGCCAGTGCCATTTTTGTTGCTGCTACATTGGCATAGTAAATGACATTCACAGCTAAGGCACTTACCCACACAACACTTTTTCTGACTTAATTTATGTGGAACGTGTTTAATCCAAAATGACACTGGCCTGGCAAAAAATTATGAATATGTAACCAAAATTGAGGTTTTTATTAATGGCTGTTATTGACAATTCGGGAACTTTTCGATGTACTGCACAATAGTTGAACCATTTGGTGCAGTTACGTTCTCTTTCTCGGAAAGAGACGTGACGCCAACACCTCCTGTCAGCCACGTTTACCAACCCTCATGTGTTCTTGCTTCTTTTCATCGGCATTCTTTTTTTGGAGCAGCAACACGATGGCAAGGCCGAAATTGCGTGTGGAGTATCTATCCACTAGTGATGGAATGAAGCTGCGCAGTTTCATTGGCAGAAAATAAGAATCTAAACACACTACGCTAACAACAACTATCTACATCTATTCCAAATTCCATTTTGTACTCCTGCATAGATCAGGAATCCAAGACCCCAATGACAGTTTGTGATTTCAGTATGAGTACCATTGCTCTGCTAATGACATTACATCTGCTCCATGACGGGGTTTTCACACTGCTGTCACTCGTGATGCAATGTATAGGGTTCTGTGACTCTGCCACCCAATGTTACATCTTTTTTAATAGTAGTTTCAAGAAGTGGTGCAGCTATGTGATGAAACAACACTTGGCCGCCGTACATGTGTGTGATCCCAGCTTGAACCCTGACTTTTCAACGTTATGCATGGGCGGAGGTTGAATCATAGTAAAGCCTTAGTAACTGTCATAGGTGTTCGAAATTGAAAAGAACTCACTATGTGTTTGAATTTATTGGTATTTTCAACTCAAAAGACAAGTAAAACAATGGCTAAAGAAGTATATTAGAATAAGGCATTACTCTGCACAGCAGTAACCTTTAAACTGACTCCATCAAGGGGGTATGCTACCAGCCTGGCAAGCTGTGGCCATTCAGTGATTGCCAAAGCACTTCACTTTTTATTATTGGGATTTCTGCTGTCTTTTTGTTTTGGACTGTCACATAACAAACAGAGGGCACAAGGGGGCATGTCTCATCTGTTCCAACTGTTTGTAGAGCTGAATCAGGTGGAGGTGGAACCCGTGGGCCGGTGGTTTGAGGCTGTGTACCAGAACGCTCGCACCCGGCACGTCTCATCGGCAGCATCAATTGGCTCAGAATCGTCGGATGAAGGTGACGAAGGAGGTGCTGCTGAGGACCCTGCCGAGACCCAGTACCTGCTCAGCCTCGATCCCAAGGAATGGAAGGTGCTGTACCAATTCCTCTGCTACGTGCTTCCAGTCTACAGATGCATGCTTTGTTTGTATCTCGAGCAGATGCCAAAGAAGCAGAATCATTGTACACTTGTTGGAAAGGCATATTTAAACCCTAGAGTTTCCTAAATATACACTTGAGGGAACTCTGGTGCTACTGTCTATGGGAGCTGCAATGCACAGCACTTCAGTGAGCATGGGAATGATGCGTAGTACACAGATTTGTCTAATGGTTGTACTTATGGCTTCGTGTGTGTTCGTGTGGCTTGGAGATGTTTTCTCATGAAACAAAAATCGGCAAATGTTCAGCGGTTGCGCTTCACCACCTTATTGTTTTAAGCTTAGCTTTTCAAATCAGGACGTGGAGTTCAAAAGAGTTTGTTCTTCGAAACAAAATAGAAACACAGCAATAAATGAAGCCACAAGTGTGACTCGCTGCTCACAAGTACGAAGACTAGGCAAATCAGTGTACTGCCCATCATTCCCATGGTCGCTGGACGATCGCAGCCCCTGAGTCGCCTCTACTTAATTTTAAAAAGCTTATGCTTTAGGCATTGTGAATGCACACCAAAAATGTTTCGTTGCGTAATGTCAAGTCTCATGCCAACCCTGGGTGACATACTCTGTCTTCCACACAGCAAGTACATGCATTAGCTTCATCTCTTGTTAAGGTGGGAGACTGGTCTTAGACAATTTTTTGTTTATTTCTTGAGTGATCTTGATCAAACTTCACATAATTATGCAGTTTTTTCTGCTGATTTCAAATACTCAATAAGTTTTTTGTAACTCATCATGTTCCTGAGATAACTCAAGTTCACTCTCTATTGTGTTTAAGGCTGCCATAGAAAAGAAAGTGCTTAATTAAAAGTAATATTTAGAATGTGCCAACATAGACTAATGACTACAGATTGAAAGTATGCAAGAGACTTTGTTTTTAGGCCTTTCTTGGTTATTTTACAGCAAAATGAACTATACATTTTCAAAAGCAGTTGGAAGTGTTACAATTTTGATGAGCAATTGATTAAAAAGGCTTGTGCTCTAAATTCTGCTTCCATACTTGCATTCTACACACATACAGGTTTCCATTGCAAGAGTTATTGTTGTACCTGCGCTAACTCCAGAGATATGGAGGCCTCAAAAGTGAACAGTCATAAATTTACTTTTTTGATAAAAATGGAAAAAACTGAAAACACACAGCTTCTTCAAAAAGCTGCAATCATGGTGTGCATGCTTTGCAGTCCTCATAAAGGTGCTCATAAATTTGTAGCAGAGCTTCTAACAAAGGTTCCGGCAAATTATAAAGAAGCCTCACAGTTGGTTCCCCATTTTTTTGCAGGTTTTGCACCAAGAATATGTACAGTTAGAATGACATTACAAAAAAATTTACCAATTCCTGGTGCGTGAAAATTTGCTGGCAAATAAAAAAATACTTGCAGAAACCAAATATATCAATTTTAAAAAATGAATTTTTTTTGTAATTTTTTAGTCCCAAAGACCAGTCTGCCTCCTTAAGTGTGGTTGCGTCACTAATGACGCTTGGAGTACGGGAACAGCAGTTGGATGTATTTAAGGGACACTAAAGTCAAATAACAATTTATGCCTTAATGTATGACAACGTCTAAAACAACAATATTGTGAGCAGCAGTGCCCTACTTATCGAGAAATTGAAGTAAATGCACGAGAACAAATGGGCCACACTAGGACGTTCTCAAAATTATCCTGATGACATCAGACAAACCGCCTACAATTATTCACTAGTAATTGAGCTAGCTGCAGTAAATAAAGAACTTCCATGCATCAAGAGACGTATAAAAAGCTGCTGGTTCATTTCTGTTTGATTTTATGGAAAAAGAACCGCTGGACGTTACTTTGAAGAATGGCACGAGTGGTTCAAAAATTCAATTTTTGCTTGGTTAAACTGGACAGGTTGTGCCATCTAGTGGGGCCCAGTTGAACCAAAACACGTCTGCCGTCTGGGAGCCAATGGCAGGGAATCGATCAATAGCCGTTTTTGCTACTGTGGCTCCCGCCGCTTTTGCTCTGCGGCTTGATTGTGGTGAAAACAAGATTTTTTGTAAGTTCAACATGCTTTTGTCTCCCAACGATTATCAATTTTGCTCTAGAAAGTTGTGCAAGTATGACTGCTAGCATCAGCCAACCACAATGTGGTTTAATCTATTGGTTAGAACAAAAAGCTCTTGCAAGTAAGGTTATTTGGTTGAAAGCAACTGTAGGTAACTTGAAATTCTATTTTATGCATTTTCGCAGATTTCCTTCGTGTCGAGTAGTCATTCTTGGTTCTCTTCTTTTTTTTTTACTGTACCGTTCCCCTTCTCACCCTCAGTTTCCTTTGCTCTGCTCGGCCTAAATAGCCGATTGTTTGTAATGCTCTCCTTTGACCCTTGTTTAAGTGAGTTCAAATCCTGCCCACGGCTGGAAAATGTTTTGACGATGAACTCCTCTCTCTTTATCTGTATTTTTTCCTTCTCTTTGTGTTGTCTATGCCTTCCTTGTCTCTTTCTATTTGTACTTCATTTTTTGTCTCGCTTAAATTTTTTTTCAATTTTTCCCTCCTTTCTCTCCATCTTCCTTTTTCTGTCAATATGTTTCTCTCTCTCTCTGATTCTCTCTTGCCCTTCTGCATGTGCAGTCTCAAGACCATTACCGGGTGCTCGGTCTGCAGTTGAAACGACATGCTGCCACCGAACATGACATCAAGAAGGCCTGTAAGAATTGCTTTTTTACAGCTCTTGTGGGCTACAAATGGGAAAGAAAAGTTATTTTGTTAGTTTTCTTAGTTTGTTTATGCTGATGCTTGCTACAAAACACACTGTTATGGAAGAGTCATAGCGCTTGGGGCTTCTGAAGTTTACAGTAATCTTTTTTGTCTTTCAGAACATTGGAAACTATAAGAAATTCTGTTTCGTTGTCTTTTTTTTTAGATTACTGTGTATCTGTTATTTTAGTGCCATAGTATTGCGATATTTAGAAAGAAAAATGGCTGCATATGACTGTATGTCAACTATATGGCTGTAAATTGAAGTGTGTTGTTTGTTAATTCATGATATTGCCTTTTTTGAAAACACTTGAGGTACACTTGATGGAAGTTCAATTTCTGGGCAAATAAATCGCAGCATAAACGTTTCTGGCAACTGTGCTCTTTAGTTCCTTAGAACCTCAATAAAGTTTGTTGACTGACTGACAGACCTCAGTGCCAGGTATATGCAGTGTTGCATAGTCAAAATGTTTATGCCTAAATGAATGGAAATATACCAGCTATTATCGATTCATCCTTTCAACTGAATGGGCTCAATATTTCTGTACTGGCTACGATAACTTTTTCTGACAGCACTGTAGAAGCTACAGAACCAAAGCACATGTTTGCTACCATGCCCAAAAAAAGTACTCAAGTTTACTAGTAATTTTCTCATTTGCCTTGCTATGCTGAATGCATCTTTATTCATTATCAGACTGAAACAACTGCGGGAAGTTGTCTGTAAAATACAGTTATTTTTACATGGTGAGAATGTTTTTCTTTTCATTTCATTTTTTTATACAGATCCATCTTTTCAGCCCACCCATTTTCCAAGAAAACAAAGTGTCTGTGACACCACTGTGTGGCCGCAAACGTGCTGCTTAGTTCTCTAAGAAAAATTTACTCGTAACAGGACAGTGAAACGTGCACTGAACAATCAATGTTTTTTTATTTATAATTTTCTTGTATTTCTTTGTCTAAACGCGTTAACGATGTTAGCAGGCAAAGCCAATATCAGCCGCAAGCTGCCGTATTACTTTCAGAGCAACACGAAAACCCCCGTAGCCTTCACTCTATTGTCAGGATAAGTTCTCGCCAAGCAAAACCCTGTGCTTACCTAAGGGGAACAGCTTTCATTTGTTTAAATGTAGCTGCCATTTAAAGGGTGCAGTGGTGAAGTTCTCAGTTCAAATAATGTCAGGATCGCTTAATATTTTTTAAGTGACCGGATGCAAGGAAGAAGGATGAACTGCTGTCCTTCGAGCACTTAAAGCTTCACCGCAAGCAGTGAAGGCAACAAATTGTAATGTTATATGAAGTTCGACTGGCAGTTATAACTCTTTCGGATCCGATCTCACGCTACTGCATAGAACGCTGGTTTAAGTGCAGCCACTCCAGAGGCACTCTTTGCATGTTCTGTTCATGTTGAGAGTGAAGCACGTAGAAAAGCCCATGAGCCGTCAGCTGACGGCTGCCGAGATAGCGAGATAATGCGTGTGCCAGTGCTGACTGTGCTTGTAAAAATAAAGGTCGCAGTTGCAGCTCAAGGGACCCCCCTCGCATCGTTCCACGCTCGTTAAAGATGAGCACAGTGTTTGCCTTCTACTTGAGCATTCGACCACCAGTCTAACAGGTGGGGGAATCTTGTCACATGCGCCTCTGAGCGATGGAGATGAGCCGGCTCGTTTGATTTCTGGTTCAGCCGGGTTCATCACCCCTGCTCGCGCGCTATCATTCGCTGGTAGAACATAAGATGCGCTGGGGGGATCTAATCGTTTTGGACTTTACACACCACTTGATGCCGATGCTGATGGCAGCAGTTACAGTAAAAACCGGTCGAAACTATTCATATAATTGCTACCTCAATAATATTCAATGCTCGCTTCACGTGCAAATCGCTTGCTGTGGTGGCGGCAGACCGGCGCAAGGTGTTGCTTCACCATCCGGACAAGAGGCGCACAGCGGGCGAGCAGGTGAGGGACCTGGAGCGTGACTACTTCTCCTGCATCACCAGGGGTGAGTGGGTTTTATTAAACTATTTATTTGTGATAACCATCTCGCAAGGGTATTACATAGCAAGGGATACACACGCATGCACAAAAAAGAAGCAGAATAACACGAGCATTGCGGAACGTTACACAAAAGCTTAGTCACGTTATCGACAACATGAAATTAATGTGTTTTTAGAGCAGAAACATAACTCAATAGAGAAGTGTATTTATTGATTGAATCTGCTTTACCCAAAGAGAGATGTACATAAGGTATGTAGAAGAAATAATAAGAGAAAGAAAATAGACAACTATTTGTAGCACAAAGCCCCAGCCATTCATTTGTTCTAGTCTCTGTGGCTACATGCTACAAATGGGTGAGACTGTTTTCACAGCAAATCTGTGCAGTTCGGTGCCTCACCTCGATGATGTAGGCACCATTTTCTTTTTTCTTTCTCTCTCTCTCTCTCCCTTGCGGCACAGTGGTCACCCTTTTCATTTCCTTTTTTTTTTCTCCTTATCTCCCTCTCTCAGTTTGCCGGTGTAAGCGCCGTTTGTTTGGGACATGCGTTCAGTGCCTGCATCATGTTTTGTTTGCCTGGTTTGTGGCATGTATTGTCTTGTTCAGCTTGTGGCCGTAGGTGAGATGCAACGATGCATGAGCATTCTGACTGACAGATTGTGATTGAAAACTACGTCCAAGGGTTACGTCATAGTGAAGACTACTATTACCATGGCAATCTTAAGTCAGACGATGAGCTCAAGCTTTTCAGGAGCTCTCTGGATTCCGTCAACGAGAGGCATGCTGTGCGGACATCAAACTACCTGAACTAGTCATCTAAATGTAAGGACGTATTTATTTCTTCTAAATGTGTTGTTTAGCGCTTTGATTTAGCGTTCAGAAATTCAGCAGTCTTTTTAACCAGGGACTTCAATACAGTTTGGTTTGCTTTACTCTTGTTGAGTTGGGCCTTGGGACTTTATTATGATATGACAAAAAGCTCAGTGGTGACACATCAGCATTTCATATGCAGAGGTCAGCATCAAGCCTTACTCTAGACGCCTAAGTCGCACTTCTAGCAGGACGACGGTAGCACACACGGCTCTGTTTTGACATGGAGTATAGCCCACCTATTATCTCATGTTGCATACGATTGCTTTGTTAATGTTCAAAGAAAAAAAATGCACAGATGCATACAAAACAAGCGACCAAGCGCAGTTGTTCCTAGAATTCAAAGCATTATGTAAAGAGCAGAGGGGCATACTCCTTAGTTTTTTTAGAGTCGCGATTTGCCTACATATGCACATATAATTATGACTGCAAGCAAAAAATAACTGTTCCAATTATGTTAATTAGAACTTCTGAAGTTCGGGTCATGTTTCGGTTACCAAGCAACACTCCACTCAAATCAAAATAAATCAGTGCCAGGAAAACTCTGAACCGTTAACCAGAATAATGATAACTCGATTTTCAGAAAAGTGAAATTTTTGTAGTGTTGCTCTAAGCCTAACGGAAAATTTGTCATTCTGCCGGGTTGAGTACCTTGTCGAAATTGCTACAGTGTTTTTGAATGCTAAATCAAAGCTCATAGTGACGCATTATGAGCCGATCAATACATCCTTAAATTGAGATGACTTGTTCGGATTTCTTGATGTTTGCATAGCATACCTGTCGTTGACAGAAGCCAAGGACCTCCATGATGATGTAACCCTTGGAGGTACTTTTCAATTACATTCTGTTGGTCAGAAGGCTTGTGCATCATTGCATTGCACTTGGCCACGAGCGAAACAAAACAACGCATGCTGCATGCTTTCCACACGCACACCGTGAAGAAATCGTGCTTGTGTTGCGAAACCAAGAGAGAGAGTCTTACAAGAAAAAGAAAATGAGGAGAGTGACCACTTCGTCGCAATGGAGCGAGAAAAAAAAATTGGAAAGGTGCCTACGTCACCGAGGTGAGGCCCTGATCGTCACAGACATACTGATACAAATAGTTAGCATATGTATACCACAACTGCTCGTAATGTCAGATTCGCTAGATCGAACCATTTTCTTGCAACAGTCTAACATGTAAATATTGTCTGGCATACTACATTGACCACAGTAAGATCAGAGTGCAATATATCGTGCTATCCTTATTTAACCTCGTCACACAAGGCAGTTGCGATGGTGGCTTTGCGTTCATTCCAGCCTCATAGTAAAAGATAGGTATTTATTTTGCTTTGTGTAATTATTCGTCTCAGCCTCATTCTAAGATCGCTTCACTTGGCCAACTTTTAGGCGCTGAGCTTCTTAGGCTTGAGCCATGTCCGGCGGCGTTGCTCGATGATGATGAACAAGCGCATTGCAGACCACACGTTCTCTTTCTGCCATCCTGGCAAAGCACATGCAAGGTACCCACTATTTATCATGGAGACAATGCTTATGACGATTGAGAGCAAGCACATTCCAGACCATACATTCTCTTTCTGCCATCGTAGCACAGCACATGCAAGGTACCCACTATTTATCATGGAGACGATGCTTATGACGATGGAGAGCAAAAGCACATTGCCGACCACACATTCTCTTTCTACCATCGTGGCACAGCACATGCAAGGTACCCACTATTTGTCATGACGATGATGCTGGTAACGATGGAGAGCAAGCACATTCTAGACCACGCATTCTTTTTCCGCCATCCTAGCACAGCACATGCAAGGTACCCACTATACACCCTGATGATGGCAATGACGATGATGATCACATGCAACGATTGGCTTGGGCGCTATATGGCATCTCGATATGCTCTACGATGTATTTTGCTTGGCTGGAAACAATTAACAACCACCAGGAGAACGTGCACAGACTTCGTCATCGCCAGCTTCAGGCTAGATTTGATACCTCAATGCAGTAATAAAGAAACTATAACAAGATCTACAACTCAGTACAAGATACCATTTATGACCAATAAGCATTTCTGTCATGAACTTTATCTAGGGAGCGCTTGTGAAGGATCGATTTGAGAAAGACACAAGAGAGACTGGCTTGTGGCAAACCGAACACACTTTATTACATCGAACAACGGCAAAGGAAGCCGAAAATCGAAAACTTTTGCGAGCACACAAAATTACTCCAGTAACACAGTAACACTCAAAACTTATAAATATCTTATAAATAAAAACAATATCGCAATAATCAACAACAACAATCCACTTACATGGGCAAACCAAAACTGGTTGTAGCTTAGTTGCAATCCATTGCTAGCCTTAGCTGCTAATCCTAAGCCAATATGGTGTCAACAATGGAACATTCGTACAGTTTGTCGCGTTGCAACTCGTTGCCCTTTGCGGTGTCAACGCTTTGCGAGTCCTCCGTCGTTGACGGGCTACTCTACTTCTTACAGTCGCCATCAGTTGAACTCGCCGCACGTACCGCTCTTCCTTATCGCCGGTGTTCCGGTCTTTGTCTCAATCTTCGGCCTCTCTAGGCCCTGTTCGTCAGGGACTCTCCCGCTGACGCGTCCACTCGGCCGACTGGTGCGGGGGCTGCTCCTTTCTTAATGCGATGTGGGGAAGTTGCAAATCTACCAGGAACTGCTGTGTAAGGGTGCGGCAAGTCTGGGCAGCCTCACTCGGGACCATCTACCAAGGTCGATGGGAACTACCCGAGCTCTTCGTGTCGACATCCTCAAAACCGCGCGGTCTTGCTACTCCCATCGCCATGGTGATCGTTTCCCACGCCTTTGCAGCTCGGTATCCCAACACATAGTGCCAACTCATCCTTAGGGTTTTTTATATCTGGGCTTGGGTTGCGTGCCATGAGCTTTTCTCCGACTCCTCTCTTGCGTTGACGAGGCTGGTGTGAGTGCACTCGAATGACTCTCCTCTCCTCGTGCACTTTCGCCGCGCTTCCGCGTTCGGCACGTGTCTCTCGCGTCTCCTTTACGCATCACAATTGCATGTAACTGTACACTGCTTTGAAAAATCTGTAAACAGGGGTTGTGTCAAGCCGACATTTCGGCTAGCGGACTTCTCTTCCTCAAGACTAGAACAAAACTCATACAATTGATTACAGCAACCCGTCTCCCCCGCTCTCTCACACCCACATATCCAATGTTGTGCTTCCTTCTCCTTTGTTAAGATGGAGGAGAAGGGTATGAAGCGTAGACACGCTAGTGCTAAAAAAATTTGTTCTGTTCTAGCCTTGAGGAACACAATTGTTGAAATGTTGGCCTGAGTACACAATCCCCGTTTACGGATTTTTCATCACAAGCTTCCATCTTCCCCTTCCTACCGTTTTTTGTACACCGCTTTGTGATTCATTTACATGTGTGAGCAGTCAATGTGACGGGTGATTTATGATCACACTGGATGATACCACTGCTTCGTCCACTCATCATGATTAACTTTGTTGATAATTTCTCATTTTTAAAATCTCTTGATCGTTTCGTTGGCACTTTTTTTTTTCCTTTCCAGCATACGAAATTCTGGGCAACCCTGTTCGGCGGCGCTCCTACGACAGCGTGGACCCTGAATTTGATGACGACATTCCAGCGAATTGTGCAGAATCACGGAACAATTTTTTTGCCATATTTGGGCCAGTGTTCGAGGCAAATGGAAGGTGAGGCTTGGCAGCTTTCAGTGATCAACGGTGCAGGCTCATATCAGGGGTGGCTTAGTGATTCTGCATCATGTTGCATAAGGTCACTCAATTCCTCATAACAAATGTCATTAAGATGCAGTGAAACGGACTTATGGGCCGTTGTCCAGGAAAACAACACAGGCTCAACATAATTTTTTTTTTTCATTTTCTTACTAGAACAAAGATTACTTCAGTTGAACATTCAAAAGCGAATTTTCGTTGTAGACCCTGCCAGACTTGCACAAGCGTGCATTTTTATATGAATAATCTCCATGTGCCTGAACATACAGTAAAACCTTGTTGATTCGAAGTCGCTTGGATGTGATAACTTTTCTAATTAAACGGGTTTTCGAATTAGGAGAGAATAAAAAAAAGTGGGATGTAAAGAGCTCGAAATATTTCAAAATATAATCAGGGCTGCAGTATTTTGCTGTGCTGGCTAGTTTGCGGCTCCAAGGGTCATGTTTTCCAGCAATATAAAGTCACAGTTTTGCCGCAAAAAAAGAGTAGGAACGCCGAGCCTCTCTGCTGCAATTGAAAACAAACAATCAAATAATATTGTGATCAACTGAAATGAGCGTCTGCGAAAATAAAAACATTTTTACTGCAACACAGTAGTGACACGCGGGCAGCATGTCGCCAGCACCTAGCTGCGTCAACACATCATGATGCTACCATTCGCCCAGTCTTTCTAGTAAAATGAAAAATTAAATCATGAGGAGTGAGACGAAATTCGCGATGTTCTGGTTGGAAAACATGATCATGAAAGCTTTCGAACCAAGTTTCTGAAGTAGGTGTGGCGGGAAGAACTTCGCCAGCAGTGCAAATGCTCAAATTGCTAGAGCAGCTGGCAATCGGAGGTCCGCCGTCATTGGGAATTCCACCAGTCTGTGCCTTGTTTATATTCCCAGAAAGAATGGGTTAATCATGACGCGCTGACATTGCGATAAGCATGCGACAAGCTGCTTGCGTGTCACCACTGTGTTGCAGTGAAGCATATCTTGTTTTCTGCAGGCGCACATCTTAGTTAATCACAAGACCGTTTACTTTATATTTTGTTTTTTTTTTACAATTCTGATTTTTTTGCTGGAAGTGTTGAGGCTGGAGTACTCCAGCTGCCACTCAATAGTATGGTTATAGTACATTGCCTAGTGGCTCTTAAGGAGGATCGGGAATTGGTACACTGCACCCAATTTTTTTGAAGTAACCAAACTGCTGCTGACCGCTGGTTCAAATTATCCACTCTAACTTGCATTGCAATATATGGGGATGCTAAAATACCTTGAATTAAGCTGTATTTTGAAATAACCGAGTTTGAAATAATGAGGTTCTACTGTAAATCAATTCACACATTTTTTTTACATTTGCACCTCCTCCCCTTCTAAACTATTTTACACACTTGCTGCAAACTATCCAGGCATGCATTGTTGTTTTATTCTGTGGATAGACTTTGTAGAAATGTTCAAAAATTTGTTAGAATAGGCACAAAAACAGCTCTTCTCTTCACCACAAGGCGTACGGTGAGACAGAATAGCAGGTACCAATGAAAAACAATGAGCAAAAGCACACATTTCTGTTCTAGTAACCAACAGAGATTTATGGCGCTTCCTGCATTATGTCTTTGAGGGATTTCTTCAGCAGCCTCAGAGTCGCTCAATATAGCAACATTGAAATCCCTCCTAAGGACGAAAAAAAAAAAAAAAAAAAAAAAACGTTTTCTTGCTGATATACTGCAGGAAGTCAAATAGTGCGCCTATAATTTTTTCCAACAGAATCTGAGAGGTAGTTTTAAAAGGTTGATGCTTGGGCAAGTTTGTGTGGGATCATCTGGAAATAAACGGTGCATCGAAAGGGGGGGAGAGAAAGTGAGGATGTGCCCGTTGCCTCTGTTGTCTTGTTAGTTAACATTTTGATAATATTCTGGGCGGGTCAAGCGCGTCTGGGACATTTGGCATGGGAAACCCTATAGTTCCACATGGCAGTCGGTCGAAGCAACACATTGGGGGAATTATTTTGAACTGAAAATGGGTGGGTTACTGCTGTTAAAAGAAAAAAAAAACAATAAAAATGAGCCTGCAAAAGCGTGTATCTAGTCGAAGTCCGGAACGATAGAAGTGCGGCATTCGATCATCTCTGCAACTGAAGTCTCGCTCATACAAACGCGATGTTCTTTGAAAACGAGGCCACCAGTAATTTGGCGCATGACGTCGGTGTGGAGTGTGGGCCCTTTTTGGAGGAAACGCCACGATCTGCTGAAGCTATAGCTGATTGTAGCGTTTGTACTTCCGAGACGGTGTCATTGTGTGATGCTTGTTCCCGATTCAGTTGCTAGGTTTATCTGTGAATGCGATGTATTCCAACTTCAACAGGGCACCTGATGTCTTTTCGCGCAAGAGCATCTTGTTGCCAAGAAGACAGTACAGGAGATGTCCGATGTGGGCAGCTTGAGAGGCAGTGCTGCCAGTGGGGTGGTTCTCTCAACTCCAATTGGCTCAGTTGATGCATTCACAGATGACACTGTTAGGGGCAACATTGAAAAATGAATGCAGTAGACAATTTTAATTGTTTCCGATTGAACAAAGTGATTACTAATGTGCACCAGTGTGGCAAAGTAGATTCATGTGGCAGAGAAATCACGAGACCTGGAGTTGCAATGCAGGGCCAAAGGAAGTTCAAAGAACTTTGCTTCACTTCTATACATTTGTTCACAACGCTGAATGCATTGAGAACTAGTCATATAATTGTTAAATTCCTTCATACGAAGCATACTCAATTCTCATCTCTTGTGAGCAGGGTACCTCATGTGCATTTACTTATCAGCCCGTATTTTACTCTATACCCATGTGTCTCTTATACGGGGATCTGACTGTATACATAACGGCAGAAATGTTATCAAAAAATGTAGGGGTTCTACATCGTGCTTGATTGTGAGCTGTTTCCTAAAACAGCCTATTGGGGTAGCCAAAGCTTAGCATTTATGTTGGTCGCCACCGCATGCGTTCCATACGCTACCTTCTTGGGTGCAATAGTATTGATAAAATAGCATGCACATCTAAGCTAAGGGAGCGCGGTGTGCCCAAGTCATCCGACATTGGCTTTCTTTGGGCAAAATAAAGCAGCATTCAAAGTCACTGGACTAGGAGGGGGTTTGTGCAATGTTTTTGTGTGCTCCCGTTCCGTGTGACATGTTGAACCGTCTCGAGAGATCGAAATTTTCAAATCCCTCCACTTTCTCGTAATCACATCGTGGTATGTCAAACCTATACAGTGGAACCCCTTTATAGGATTTTTTTTTAATAAGAGATTCTGGTGTAAGAGACAAATGGGTATAAGAGACCAGTGTGCCTACAGTAAAATACGGGTTTATAGAAAAATGCATACATGGTACCCTCCTTATAAAAGACATTTCGTATAAAAGACAAGAATGGCGGCCCAGAAACTGCTTCTTATGAAGGGGTTTTACTGTACAGTAGAATTGAAATTCATTTCTTGTAACCTTCGTGGCCACGTACCGGTGTGGTGCCATCCGTGCTTAGTAATCCTGATGAAAAAGCATTGATGTATGCTGATCAAAGCCAAAGGTTTCTCCTTCGAGACATTTGTCACCAGATCCTCGACTTTATAGCACTCCTGCTACTCGATTGTGATTGTCTGCACTGTCTGATTTACTCATGCACAGTTGAATGATACTAAAATGTGCACACTTGTTAATATAGGTCATTGCAATTGCCACAGTTAACTATGCACTTGTATTTATTAAAAATAAAGAACATGCACAACAGCAGAGTCACCTGTCGTGAAGTATGCTCAGCTGTTTTCAAGTCCCGCAATGTGACATCACAAAGCTCCCACCAGTTGTAAGTGAAGACGTGGTTATGGTATGTCCTAAGGTAGCTGTTATGTGTTTTTGCAAAAATAGAACTATTTGCTCATGTTTGTGCCAGTTCCCAACTTGTTTTCAGGCTCACCTCAGAGAAAGCGATTAGACGGCCTAGATATTTTTTAAATGTGCATCAGTAGCGATATTGGAGCTCACATAACATTCCAGCTAAGTTGCTTACATTAGACACAACATAATTGCACATAGCTGACCAGGCAGTGTTCAAGGCAAGCGTTGCTCGCCATGGAAGTACAAGACGATGGCATGTGCAGGTGGTCGACCAAGGGAAACATGCCTCCGCTTGGTGAGGAAAACTCCAGCCGGGATGAAGTGGATCGCTTTTACCATTTCTGGTGAGTTAACAGAGATTGCGTTATTAATGGTCTGTAGAGAGAGTTTTTAGCACTCCGCCAGATGTCAATATAAAAGCATTAATCTAATCAGTATAATAAGGAGTCAGCTGGCACAAGTAAAGTTTGATTGAAAGCTCTGCATGTTGTGAGGGGCAGTCATCATTGTAAGTCATTGGAAACGTTCACTGAACACTAAAAGGGAATCATCTTACTGTTGTGCTTGTAGGAGACACAGTGAGATTGCATTGTGGAACTTCGATTACCATATTTACTCGCATAATTTGCGCACTTTTTTTTTGCGATTTCGGGGCTCCGAGAAGGGGGTGCGCAAATTACGCGGGAATTTCGCGAGCGCATAGAAAATGATGTGCAACGGTCCTAACGCTTGTTGTATATGCAATAAAGAAAAGAAATAAATTGGAGCACGATCAAAGTATACTTGTTTATTTAGCAGAATTTTCTCGTACTTTAACTAGTCAGATGCGGTCACGGGCGGTCTAGTCGGAACCTCTGATAGAAAGGTCTGATTGAGAATAGTCATCGTGGCCACTGTCACCACCCTCCCAAAACGCATCTCCCTCGGTGCTGTCCAGCGTTTTTGAATGTTCTTGACAATGCTGGAAGAAACTAGGTCCCATGACACGGCAATACTGGAGGACCTAAGTATTCGCACATAATTGAAAAGGCCTCCTTCAGCAGCAGGAAACTTGCATTAGCAAGTACGCACTCTTTTGCTTCCTCCCGTACCGATCACGCTGATCGTCACACGTTGTAGCAACTTCACGCTAAAGGGCTTGGCAGTGGCACAATTCCTGTTTTCTTCAGCAAACTTCATAACAGTGAGCTTAAATTTTTCCGTATGTATAATTACTATAGCCTTTCACAAGGGAACAGTGAAAAAGTTATAGACCATCTCCCCAAAAGGAACCATGATGGGATGCAAAGCAGCAGCAGTGCGCATGGCGTTGACCCGGCTGAAACGGACATTGACACGGGTGCTGGAAGAACGGTTTGAAGTGAAACTCGGTGTAATTTACTAGAGTTAACGTTTGTTTGAAACGCAAAGACAGGAGAGGTGTGTTGGGTTTCATGTAAGTTTCATTACAAATAAATGATCTGAAAGAGTGTGTCCACTCGACGTACGGTCGAGCGTTGCAGGCGGTGGAGAGGGTGAAGCGAGAGAGAAGCGTATTGCGAGCGGGCGGAGAAGCAGCACCACCTAGGTGTGTTGGTAGGAGCTGGCAGCTGCCATGAGTGAGGGAGATAGTGACGTCAACGCACAGCTGCGACTTGACATACTTGGAACCGTTTCAGCTACTGCGGCGAGAGGAATGCGGTGTGGCGCGTTAGCTAGGAGACGCGGATAGCGTTACACAGGCTAGTCAATGAGCTGATTCTTATCTAAAACTTGATGGAGATATGGTGAAACATAAACTTCGAAAATCAGTCGAGCGTGCGTTGCAGTGCGAATGCTGAGAACGAGGGGAACAGTTGGCATGACAGGCCCAACAGGCCCTCGCACGCCTCCGGTGCCGAAAGTTGTTCCTGCCGAGACGAGAGAGTGCATTTTCAGAGAATTAGAGAGCGAGAGATAGAGGGGTGCAAATGCTTTCAGCAGTTCCAGTGACCCCGTCAACAGGTTTGAGTGTTCGTTCATGGTGTTTTAGGGATCCTAGTTCGTGAAAAGTCCTAAAAAAAAACAGAACTTTGCATGTGCAGCCCGTTTGACTGCGTTCGAGTAATCGGCGGGGACCCGCAGGGGCGCCTGCGCAAGTAGGCGTTTGGTGTGTAGCGACACCATGGATCCGAGCTAATGGGGGAGTTTCTACTCCATCCCACGCCTAGCCGTGCGTGGCTTTGCCGTGTCCGGGGAAAAGGGGATCCTGGGGGTTGAGCCGACGCTGGGTGATTGGACCTTTAAGGCCCCCCCGGCAGAGGCAACACACCCCTTTGGCCCCGGCTTCACGTAGACGGCACCCCTGGGCTGACCCACCCAGGGGAAATCGGCAGTCGCCTTTTCCTATCTCTCTCTCCCTACATCTTCATCTTTATCTCTCACTATTTATCTGTCCTGTCTTCTACTTTCTTCTGTTTACTTCCAATTTTCCTGGTGGCAAGGGTTAACCTTGTGTAATTTAATTACTCAACCTTGAGTAGTTATATTTGGTTATAGTGGCAATGTACGGCTGGCGTCTGCAGCCTTATGCTATTAAGTGCTTCAGCGTCCCCTGGTTGGACTCCATGGTGGGTGGTCGCCACTGCTGCCAAAAAAAAGTACACTACTATGGGAACACCTGAATTTCCCCGTCTTCTAGATCGTCTTCCGCTTAAGAGAGGACGCACCGATGAAATATCAATTTTCAGCCAACCCACACAATGCTTTCCAAAATTCCATGTAGTGCACTGCGAAAACCCAACAAAACAAGCCAGAGCCATATCTCCATTTCTTGTTTCTAAATCTCTGACTGAGCTCTTTGGCCCAGGATACAAAGTTACAAAGATGGCTAGTGGAGACCTTCTCCTTGAGCTGCCTGAAAAACACCACTATGAAAAACTTGGCACTCTCGTAGCATTTGGTAATATCCCAGTATCCGTTTCACCTCATAGATCAATGAACACCTCACGCGGAGTTGTTTCAGAAGCAGACCTTCTTGAAATGTCTGAACAGGAACTGCTTGAAGGGTGGAAAGAGCAAAATGTCACGGATGTGAAACGAATCGTCATCAGACGCGATAACAAAGAAATACCTACCAAACATTTAATACTCACTTTCGCATCTAGCACACTGCCTTCATCTATAGACACAGGCTACATCAAACTCTCTGTCCGTCCCTACATTCCCAATCCAAGACGGTGTTATAAATGTCAACGATTTGGTCATGGCTCGCAGAACTGCCGGGGTCAGGAAACTTGTGCAAGATGTGGTAGCCGCGGCCACCCATCTGATAACTGTGTTACTACGCCTCACTGCGTGAATTGTGACGGGGAACACGCCGCGTATTCGCGTTCGTGTCCTAACTGGAAGAAAGAAAAGAAATAATCACTCTTAAAGTCAAATAAAACATCACTTTTAAAGAAGCAAGAAGAGGAGTGTCGCCATTTTACGGCGCAACATATGCTGATGCGGCGCGTCAGGGGGCAACGCCGCACCAGCCCTCGCCACCCCTTCAGCCAGCGCAGAGCGAGCCATCGGTTGTGGCGCCTGCCCCCAAGGCGGCAGTAGTTCAGTCTACTCCGCCTCCAAGCAAATTGAGGCCGGAGACTCCAGGGTCCTCTGGTCTCAAGGCCTCACCTCACCAGGCGAGGCCTAAAATCCGAACCACCAGCTCGCATGCGCGGGCATCCAGTGCCTCTGAGGAGGCAATGGATACAACGGTACCCTTGGTACCGAAAGAGTGGCGCGCCTCCTTGGAGCGCGCCAAGAAAAATAAAAAACCAATAACGGGGCCGGACGACCGTCCTGCCACCTGAAATAACAAGCTCACTTTAACAGAGGATACTCTGTACACACAGCAGCATCTCTTCTTTTAATATGCAGACAGAAATATTACAGTGGAACATCCGAGGCCTTCTTCGAAACCTGGATGACTTACAAGAACTCCTCCATGAACACAATCCTAGAGTGCTGTGTGTACAAGAGACACACTTAAAACGAACAAATACAAACTTTTTACGTAACTATGTAATCTTCCGAAAGGATAGAGATGATGCCATGCCACCATCCGGTGGTGTAGCAGTTATAGTCAGTCAAGGTATAGCATGTACACAATTACCCCTTCAAACTTTCCTTGAGGCGGTGGCTGTCCGAGCTGTTATTCTAAATAAACTTGTCACAGTCTGCTCTTTATACATACCTCCGCACCACCGTCTTGAAAAACTTCAATTCCAGTCTTTAATAGACGAACTACCTGAACCTTATCTGGTCCTTGGGGACCTGAACGCACATAATGGTCTGTGGGGTGACTCTCGCTGTGATGCACGAGGTCGTCTCATTGAACAATGCCTCATTTCATCAGGTGCTTGTCTGTTGAATAGGAAAGAGGCAACATACTATAACCTTGTCAACAAAACTTACTCTTCCATAGACCTTAGTATCGCATCTCCTTCACTTGTACAATTACTTCAGTGGAAAGTCATAAATAATCCATATGGAAGTGACCATTTCCCTTTAGTTTTGAGTACACCAATAATATATGAATGTCCTCCACTTGTTCCCAAATGGCTGGTAAACAAAGCCGACTGGGAACAATTTCAAAAGATTACCCACTTAAGTTGGACTGACATATGCAGTTTAGGCATAGATGAAGCTGTGCAGTACTTCACGGCCTTTCTAACTGACGCAGCAACCAAGTGCATTTCACAAACATCTGGACTGCCCGGCAAACGACACGTTTCGTGGTGGAACACTGAGTGTCAGAATGCGCGAAAGGAACAGAACAGGGCATGGAGGTTGCTGCGGAACTCGCCGACAGCGGAAAACCTCGAGAGCTTTAAGAAAATAAACTCTCGAGGCAGGAGAACGCGTCAGCCGGCCAGAAGAGAAAGCTGGCACAAGTTTTTATCAGGGATAAATTCATATACACAAGAGGCTAAAGTCTGGAACATGGTTCGTAGGGTAGCAGGAAGACAAGTACACTCACTCCCACTCGTAAACACACAGGGTGACAGCCTGGAAGATCAAGCGAACTTCCTCGGTGCACACTACGAGCAGGTGTCTAGCTCGTCACACTACACTGAAGCTTTCCAAAGATACAAAGCAAAGATAGAAAAGCAGAAACTAGAATTCAAGTGCACAAAACACGAGGCATACAACCGACCTTTCAACTTAGCTGAGCTACAAACATCACTAAACTCTAGCAGTAATTCTGCACCAGGCTACGACCGTGTCACGTATGAAATGTTGAAAAACCTGCCGCCTAAAACGCGAAAAACTTTACTCTCTCTATACAATGCTATCTGGCTTTCTGGCACCATCCCTGCTTTCTGGAAAGAGGCTATTG